AACTGTCAATTTTGTCCTATTAAAACTCCCTTTTATTTTGCCTCCTTTTCTCTTTTATTTCTAATAACAGCCCATTAAAACTGCTGCACTCACGATTTGCTGGTATTTGCTGTTCTATTTTAATACTATCTATTAGTTCTTCCCTCCTTTCCTTTTAATATTTACACATATCATCAAATACTGGGCAAAATTTCTCTGCTTAAAAAAAAAATAAATCCCATGTGTGGAAACCAATTACACATAACTTGTTACTGAGGGCATGGCTGGGCTTTCTGTGTAGCTCCAGAGTCCCACTGAGTTTAAGGTAGCTGAGGACACTTTTATATTAGAAACAGTCTGTGCTAATATAATTGGGTGCATTGTTATTTCTTAACTTCATCTAAAAATAACACATCGAAATCAACTGGACTGAGAAAAAATCAGCTTCTATTCCATGGGTTAATAAATAACTGATAATGAAATGACTGAGAAAAATCGTGGCCAGGAGCATCAGTTTGACATAAGAAGATTCTCCAGCCTGAAGGATTCCAGCTGGAAAAGCACAGTTTAAAAGTCTTACATTTCCTCCATTTCATGTGTATTCACCAGTGCTTATGCAGTCCAAATAATCTGTGCCTGTGCTTATGTGTGTCAAATATCAGGAGGGCGTGGGGAAAAGGAGCAGCCAGTAACACCTGAAGGCACCTCAGGGGCACCTGAGTCTTGGCCTGAGTTCTCACAGTCCAAACACGACCCTCCAGGAGCCAGTGAAATCTCTGCATTGACCTGAGGGGGACAGGACAACCCTCTGCATCCAATTTGGATCCCCCTGAAGGGAGGCTGAACTGTTGATACAGCAAGAGGTTGTGGTCCCTAAAACACCACTGGGATGATACCATATAGATTTAACAGAAATATTTTCTTCCAAAGAAGATCTATAGGTAAATTCCATCTGATGCTTTTATTTCTCTGTCCATGTCTGATAAAGGAATTAAGGAACAGAGGGGGAAAAAGAAAAGTGAAGCCTCATAAACTGCTTCACTAACTGCTACTCAGAGAAGATTCTCTATTCTGATTTTCCTCTATCAATGTATTCAAAAATGCTAAAATTTCTTCTTGAATAATTTATAATATACAAACCCAAGAATATTTGAGAAATTCCCTAAAAAAGTGCCAATATTGAATATATTTATCTGAAGACACCAGACAAATAGAAATCTCTTGGAGACAAGAAAAGGGGTCACCAGACCAGTGAAGGAATTTTAAGCCCAGACTAATGGCACGGTGAGGTGTCTGCCTCGTGCAGCCTCTGCAGCTGGGAGTGTTTCTGCCCAGGACCACTCTCTGTGTGCTGGAGAGTTCCAGCACTGTATTTCCCACAGCCCAGAGCTCCGGCCTTCCCTCCTAATTCCAGGATTTCCATGTTACCCTGTTGGGGCCCCCAAAGGCAGGATGCCCCCTGGGAAGCTCTCCCTGAGCCGTGGGCCGTGCCCTGCACCCCGGCAGGGGCACAGGAGGCATCTCTCCCCGGAGCACCGGCTGGCAGCTCTCCCAGCCCAGTGCATGTGGGTTTTGCGTCACGGATTAATCACATCCCGGCCCTGCTCCCCCTCCCACACTTGGGTTCCCACATGTTCTCCTGCCCCAGTAATAGGCAGCTGGAGGCGATTCCCTTCCCCAGGGAGCTGGGTTTGATGGGGCTTTTAGGCAGGAAGGCAGCTGGAACCCAGGCACTGGCTGTGTATAAACCCTTTCCACACTCGGATCCAGAACCTCTAAACCATTCCCTAGCTCTAAGAAAACTGAGAGAGCTGGGAAGCAGCTCCCATCTATAATAATTACAAGAGAGTTTCCCTTGCCCTTGCACTATTTATTGCTTTTGCCCTTGCTGTAGATTGCTGGAGACACAGAGACTATTAAAGCTTGGCATATTTCTTTTTGGACAGGCAGAGCAAGCTTTGGAAGAAAACTCCCTCTTTCTCTCCACCATTGCCACTTCTGTTGGAGAGGGAAGGGGCTGGTTCACACTGCAGGCTAACTGGAGCATTGAATGCCTGCTGTGCAAGGACTGCAGTGGGGGGAACGTTCGCCCCCAGTGGAAAGGGAATGCTGTGAGGATATTTCAGAAAAGTACAGTGACTGCTCAAGTATCCTTTTCTAAGTTGTGTCTCTCTCCTTTATTTTCACAAGGCTGTCAGGGAGGAAAGGTGCATTTCAGTCATGACGACTGAGGCTGGGAAGAGGCAGCCGAAGGGCCCCTGCCAGCTCCTGCCCTGCTGAGATGCAGCTCTGCCGACTCCACAGCTCCAGGATGGGGTTTTGCAAGGAAATAGCTCGCTTGCCAATAGTAATAATTATCATTAATAACCGAGTGACGTCCTAGTCTTGGTTACATCAGCTGTAGCCTTCTCTGGAGCTCCTGCCAATCTCACTCGCACCGGTCCTGTTCTCAGCAGGGTGTGTGGAGCAGCGACAGAAGGGCCGTGA